AAAAAAAAAAAAAAAGTTCTGTCTCATCCATCTATCTACTCAGGCCCAGGGAGAGTCTAAACCAGCACATGCAAATGCCTACAGGGGCCTGACAGGTGACATGGAAGACAGAGCCAGCCCCGTGCGAGAAGACAACCCCTCTAGCCCCTCGGTGAGTGGCCCTTGATAGTCACCCTCCCTGTCAGGGAACAAAAGGCCTGAGGCACACACCTCATCTCCTCAGCTTTAGCCGAGTGTTGCCTTAGCCCGGTATGGCCTGATCTACTGACACTTGAGTAAAACCTCCCCATTTTTACTGTTGGTTGGCCAAAACAAACGTGACCATGAGCCAGATACAATGCAGGAGGTGTCAGGTTGTGACCACCAGCTTCGACTACCTGGGACTCGGCTCTTGAACCTGGAGATTCTAAAACCAGCATTCTGTGGCTCTGGCTGCCAGGAAGTTCTTGCTCTCATCCAACTAAAACGTCTCCTGCTTTAAATCCTTTTTATTTTTGTGTGGGTGGAGTATGAGTGAGAATTGGCTCCTTATTAAACACACACACACACACACACACACACACACACACACACACACTTTCAGAAACTGGAAAAACAGCCCAGTTGCAGTGAACTGAGAAGCGAGTGGGTGTTAGAAGACCCATGTTCTAGTCCAGCTCTGTCATGTATCATCTGTGTGACCTTCAGCAGGTCGCTTCATCTCTCTGAGCCTTTTTTGCTGTTGTTTTTGTACCTTTCTCTCCTGCCCCTTTGCCCTGCCCTGAGGGTCACCGTTTCCCACCCGAACCACATGATGATAATGATTATAACTAGAGCTTCTTCTTACTGAGCAAGTTTTCTGTATTAGTGCTAAGTACCTTGCATGTAGTATTTTATTTCATCCTCTCAACTAGTCTAGCGGATGAGTATTCTTATTCCCATTTTACAGGTTAAGAAACTGAGCCTAGGTCTCTACCTCCAGTAAATGGTAGAGCTGGGGTATGAACCTGTGCAAATAACGACCAGCTCTTCTGCCTCTTCCCCAGGCTCCCCGCCACCAGGCCAGGCTTCCCTTTGGCCACCGCAGTGGCCTTTGGGACCCCCCACTGCTCAACAACCTCAAGCGGCTCCCTATTGCCTTAGCAACTCAGCCTGGCATTGGCGTCCCCTTAGTCCATACCCAGCATACCTTCCCTACTTCTTACAACACGCTAGCCAGAGCTTTGCAATCACCCACGTGCTGCATTCAGGAGTTTTCCTTGCTGTTCACGTGTCTTCATTTATTGTTTAGTTAACATTTTTTATTCTTTACTTCATATTCATCTGTTTGTCAATTCATTTTCAACTTAAATATTTATTTGTATTTATTATCACATGCTTGTGTTGTTAAAATCACTTCCTAACACTCATTAAGATGAGAGGCTGAAAAAAAAAATTTATCTAAGTGCCGTCGGAAGTCTCCCCTCCAGGGACTCACAGTGGGTGCCCTACTTTGGGAAGCACTGCGTCCCTCCCTGGCCTGGCTGAATGCCCTCCTGCCCTTCAGAGCCCTGTTCCACCTGTGTCTCTTCTCTTCTCATGACACATATGCTTCCAGGCAAAGGGATGGATTCTCACCGTTCATCACACAGCCCAGAATCCTCAGTGAGTGGGCCTGCCTTCCCTGTGGACTGCAAGCCCCAAGGCAGGAACCAGGGCTTACACACCTCTCCCCCAGGTCCTTACACAAAGCCTGGTACACAGTAGGTACTCTGGGGGACCACCATGAAGGCAGTGCTTTGGCAATGTTGAATGAATTGGATTGGGCTCAGCTCGTTTTTCTCAAAGCATGGGATGGGATCACAGGTGGCCCACAAGACAATTTGGGGAGGACATGAACTTGATTTGAAATCACAATAAGAGAGTTGCTCCAACTCTCTTCTGGTCCTCTTGATGACACCAAAGAGAAAGTCTCAGTTCAGTGCCAATATATCTTAAAAACACCTCTCAACACTTAGTCATTATTTCTTTTAACAAAAAGAAAGCAGTCCTCGGGCTTGAGCCATCCACAGCCAACCTCATCCAGCCAGAATTTTCTAACACGGATTTGCTTTTGTTGTACATGTTTTTATAGTTACTACCTGTTTCTGACAATGAATATTGACGTTCCATGGCCATGACATAAAGTTTCCTATTTAAATATATTTTAAAATTTATAAAGTAAGTTGATTTCAAGGAAAATATTAAGCAAATAATAACCAGTACTTTTATTGTTTCCTTATAATAATACCTTATGCAGTACTAAGTGGATATCGTTATGATGATACAAAAACTTTGGCAATGTGGGATTGGATAAACCTAAATCCTTTGTCATAAGATGCTCTGACACTGGGCTGCCCCAGAACACTAGATAGCCATTAGTCAAATCAACCCATGAAAATTACAACTGTGATGAGTGTCATGAAGGAGAGATATACAGTATGCTAGAAAGCAGGGGAGACCAGGACAGGCTTTCCTGAGGAAGTGACATTTGGGTAGAGATGTACAGGATTCATTAGGGGAAGGGTCCAACCCAGTAGAACAGCATGTGCAAAGGCCCTGTGGTAGGAGGGAGTATGAAACTTAAGAGGCTCCAAGGTCAGAGTGTCTGGAGTACAGAGGTGAGGTCAGAGAGGTGGGCAAGTAACAACCTTTACGATTTAAAGACAACGGTGGGAGGGAAATCTGACCATAATTCCCATTCAGAAAAGAGTTGCTTATTTTTTGAGAGGATCAACCAGTGCCTGACCCTTGATCTTAGTGTCTGGGGTTCAACAAAAGAGTTTCTGGATTCTAAAACTAATAACTGAGTTAGGTTCAAAACTAGGCAAGGTTTAGCGAACACCGCTTGGTTCTGGTGGCTCTGGGGTGGCTGTGACAGCTGAGTACATGTTCAGAATTCACACTGTCCTAACGATGACTTTCTGATAGGGTGACCTTGGGCCGCCACTTAAGCTCTCAATCCTCAGGTCTCCATCTGTGTGGTGGAGACACCAGCAGGTATACTCTTAGAGTTGGTGTGAGTTACACAAGCTCCCACATGTAAATCACCTAGTGCAGGGCCTTGCCTGTGGTGAGAGGTGAATAACATTAGCTTATGATGATTATTGTCAAACAGCTACAAGAGCAATGTGTGTGTACACCTGCCCTGCTGGTCTAGGAATTTAGGAGCCTGGGTTTGCAATATGTCTGGTGTGTACACAGGTGTGAGCCCATATTTTAGCAATATGGGAGAGCAGGTGGACAAGGCTTGCGTTGTGTGAGAGGGCATGTGTGTTCAGCAGTGTGAGTCAGCAGGAGCACGCTTTGGTGTGCTCTGTGTGTGTGTGTGTGTGTGTGTGTGTGTGTGTGTGTGTGTAAACACGTCTCTATATAGAATTCTTCTGCGTGTGGATGTGCACCTAGTGAAAACTCACACAAATTCAGCACAGTCAAGGGATTAAAGAAAGCCCTCGCCTGTCTTTACAGTCTTGTTCCAAATCCCCACCACTCCTGCGGAATCCGTGTGAATCCGCCCGGGGCTCCTGGGCCTGTCTGGAGCTGGGCTGGGATTCTCTGAAAACAGACTTTTCTTTCATTCTCTGTTCAAACACACACACACACACACACACACACACACACACACACACGCACACGCACGCACACATGCCTCATCTCAACCTTGAGGTGCCAGCCCAGGAAGTCACAGTAGGGGGGTATTGCCCTCCCTTTACCCCCTCCTCTAAGCCTACCACCCACCCAGTTCCCATGGGAGCATCTCAAATCAGGACAATGTGCATATCTGACTTTCCTGCCCTGCGTCTAAAATAGCAAAACCATCCCAGGTTTTGGTGAGCAACTTCCTCCTCTCCACTCTGCACCCTTAACCCTCCTTGCCCTGCACTGTCTGATTGAGCTGGGAGGGGGTCTTTAACCCCATCCCCATCCGAACCCCTTAGGGGGACTAAGTGGGCGTATCTGACGCTCAGGTCCAAGTCTGAAATGCAACACTTCCCCAAGTTTGGTCCAAGGACCAAGAGCCAGGATTCCAGAGCCCTGGGATGGGACAATATCGAAGTTTACAAGTCAGCCTGTCTTATAGCTTCCACTTTACACATGGGGAAAAGGAGGCTCAGAATGCAGAGGGCATCGGCAGGGGTGGGTTCCTGCACCTCCCTATCACCCCACCCCCGATGGTGGGGGGCAGTTAAGCATAGACTCCTGGTACGGAGGGTCATCTCTACATAATAGATCGGGGTCTGCGCTGGACAGCCCCGTCGAGCGCCCCACCAAAAGAAGATAGAGGAGGGTGGTCCAGGCCTTGGCAGGTGTTACCATGGTGATGGGCTACAAGCTGCGGCGGCTGCTCCTCTCCTGGGCGCCTGGTCAGTCGGTCCGCGGATGGGTCTGTCCGGTGCAGTGCCCCGGCCGGTGCCTAGCACTGGAGCTAGCTAGCCCGGGGCGCCGACCTCAGCTTCATCTCCGACGGGAAGCCGGAGAGCCAGGGAGAACGAGGTGCCCGAGAGACGGGCGAAACAGACCGGAGACTGCGAGAGACACGAGAGACGAGGGAGAGACGCGGGCGGCGCTGCCGGGCCACCAACGCGGGGCGGCCGCAGGGGCGGGGCGGAGCAGGGCGGGGCTGCCCGAGGTCCTTGCCCGGGTCCCCGCGCGGCTCCCTGCAGGGGACTAGGCAGCTCCACGGCGGCCCTTTGTGCCGGCGCCTCGCCCCCGCCCCGCCCGCCGCGCGCGTGATGAGAACCAGGCGCCCCTCTCCCGGCTCCAGGCCGCGCGGGCTGCCAAGAGGAGCTCCAGTCGGCCCGCCGCCTCGTCCTACCGCCCCTCCTTTTCCCACCGTGCTCCAGCCTCCACCTCGCAGCGCCACCCGCCTCGACAGCCCCCATTTACAGACTGGCAGAGCGAGGCAGAGCCTGCAGACTTCAGAATCAGGCCTGGGTTCGAGTCCTCTCCTCGTCCACTCCCCAGATAAGGGCAAGTCAGGAACTGTCTTGAGCCTCAGTTTCTCCATCTGTAAAATGGGGCTGCTGATGATATGGTTGTTGGTGGTGGTGGTGATGATGATGATGATTCCTGATTGAGATTTTGTAACGTGGAGTAAGCATCTTGTGTCTTTCAGATAATGACTAGCTTTGCGATCTTGGCCAAGCCACAGTTCTTCAACTTTGGAGAGGAGTGACTAGAAACTAGATGATTTCAGATTGGATGACTCTGGGATTCATCCATTTATTTATCAAACACTGTGCCAAGCACTGAGCCAGAACAAGTCAAAGTCTCAGCCCTCAGGTAATGTACAGTCTAGTGGGGGGAGATAGGCAAGAAAAGGATAATCAGGGGGAAAAAAATCACTGAGTGTGTTAACTGCTAAGGAAACAGACAAAGGTTGGAAATTGGAACTGTAAGGGGATAAGCTTAGCGCTGGTGATCTTGGAAGGGACAGAGAAGCCTAGATCTGAAAGAGGGGGAGGGATTAAGTCAAGAGGGGCTTGGGGGAGAAGCAGAGTTCTAGGCAGAAGGAATCGCATATGCAAAGGCCCTGAGGTAGTATTAAGCTTAAAGAAAATGGGAGAAAGCGAAGAACTGAAAAAGGACAACTGCAGTGATAAGGGTTTATGTTCAAAGCCCAAGCCTTATTCACAGCCCATCTTCCACCCCACGTAGGTTAATCAGTGTTGTAGCAGAGAGAACCTGAGCTAGGAGCCAGTCCATCATACTATGTAACTTTTAACAAGTCCTTTTATATCTTTGGACCTCCATTTTGCTCATTGTTAATTTGGGACTAATAATCTCCAATAGTTTCACAATGCCACATAGCTCAGAGGATCCCTCAGTGATATTTACTAAGCAATCAACTAAACCTTCTTCAGCCTTTGGGAGCCAGTCTGGATGGTTTTTGGCATCACTACTTCAGACATGAGTTTGGGAGAGAGCAGACTTGCTGATGTCAAGTGCAGAATTCCACTGGAAGTTAGGATCATAGCTTAGAGGTTCTAGAGTCCCAGCTTTGCAGTGAAACAGAACTGGCATGACAGCTAGTGCTCTGGGGTTGCAGGCAACAGAGGCTGACCGAGTTAGTTAGGCAGAGAAATAATTGATTAGCAGAGTATCAGGTGCACACAGAATCAATGAGAAGGCTGGGGGCCTCTGTCCTCTGGAAAACACAGGAACAAGTAAGACGCTCCAGGGTTCTCATTGGCCGGAATGGATTGAAAGCCCTTGAAGACTGATGGAATCACAGTAAGACAGACACACACACAAAGTACTATGTGTCTGGTACTTTTTTTTTTTTAGATTTTATTGGGGCATTGGGGAAGGGGGACAGTGTTGGAGAATTGAGGAAGGGGAATGAACAGCCAAGTTGTTGTCCTTCAACCTTAGTTGTGGAGAGTGCAGCTAGCTCAGCTCCAAGTCCAGTCGCCATCCGGCCGCCCATCAGCAGCTTGTGGCCACTCAGCTGAAGGTGTTGTGTTCAATCTTAGTTGCAGGTAAGCATAGCCCACCATCCCATGCGGGAGTCGAACAGGCAACCTTATTGTTAGGAGCATGTGCTCTCACCAGCTGAGCCATCCTGCCACCTATTTGCAGCTCAGCGGCAGCTCAGCTCAGGCTCAGCTCGCTGGCCCATGTGGGAATTGAGCCGGTGACCCTGTTGTTCAGAGCTTGTGCTTTTAACCAACTGAGCCACTCGGCCGGCCCCTGTCTGATAAGTGTGTAACAGTTATAAGGTAGCTTCTATTATTGTCCTCCTTTTTACAGATGAAAAAAAAAAAAAGCACAGAGAGGCTATGCAACTTGCCCAATGTAAGAGAGCTAGTATACTGTGGAGTCCAGAACTGGACAAGGCTATCCATTTCCAGAAATTTTGTTATTAGCCCCCTTCCTGTGCTACATAAATGAATATCAAGACTTGTGTCACTCCTTGCTAGATTCAAAGACTTAAAGGAGAGTTTCTTTAAGTCTTAAGAGTTGGGTCATGTGCCCAAGGTCCCCTAACACTGAACATAACAGGACTAGTTAGTCACCCAAAAGGAAATTAGATGACATAAGAAGGGTGTGCATAAATCTGAAATAGCTTATAAACAAATACTCATTACAGTCCACCCCTTGGGCCTCTTGACATCATTTGCACCTTTATTCCCATGCATGTTCTTCCCAAAATTCTCTCTACAGACACAGTACAACTCCACATGCACCCAAAAATACACACATACACCCTCATATGGTTTGGCCCCATACTGTGTGTGACCTCAAGGAGGTTCACCTTTCAGAGCCTCAAATTCATCCTTTGTAAGACAGAGAAAATATTTACTTCCTCATAGGACCATGGTGGGGATTAAATAAGTTAATTTACACTGTGCCTCCTACACAGCAGGATTAGCCTATAACACATAAAATAGTGTTGTTTATGTTAGGGGTCAGTGGTTGTGAAATTGCCTCCAAATACACAGGCTTCACTGTCGGGTTGGACTGGATTCATCTCTCAGGGACTTTCCAGAGGATTTTTCCAAGGATTGTTCAAGTATTCATTTCCTCTCTTTGGTAAATGAATAACTGAATCATGCTCCAATTGCCACACTAGATTTGGAGAAATAACAAAACCCATCACTGGTCTTACACATGGTAGAGTAGAGAAAATGGGGGAAGTGATGTAGAAATGGGCTCTGCTACTGACTCACTGTTTTGAGTCGATGCCTCCCCTCTTGGGGCCACAGTTCCCTCAGCACAAAATGGATATTATAATCCTCTCGTCATGAGACTTTTTGTGAGAATCCACTGAGAAGAGGCATTGAAAGGGCATATCATACGTTCCCAGCAAATAGTGGCTCTACCTATGTTGCTGAGATGCCCAGGACCAGGTGCCAGGAATCTCAGCAGAGGATAGTCTCACTCGGAGAAAGGGAGCCACATAATTTAAACAGAATGTCATGGAATTCAGAATTCATTCATTCCATAAACACTTATTTGTTCCTACTATAAGGACAGCAAATGCTTGGCACACATGTGCGCACTCACCCCTCCCCTACCTACGATAGACATCATTCGTCAATCAGGAAACTTCCTGCGGAACCTAGAAGCAGCCTCAGAACCTTCCTCAACTCAGAGCCCAGGCAGCTCTCTGATTGGCCAGAACAGATTCTATGCCCACCCCTGGGTGGGAGCACAGGATGGTAGTTCTACCAGGAGTGGGGAGAAGTTCTTCAAAGAAACCAGGAAGAGGGAGATGGAAACACAGGTTAAGTCAACACAAGCTTTGGTGGTTATTGCCCACTTCATAAACACCGGGAAGGAAAAAAAGGTGAAAAGACATGGTTTAATCCTTCAGCGAACGTCTCTTCTTGCAGAGAAAATGGGATGTTTAAATGAGATTCCTGATACCATGTGTGGGAATGGGGGTGGAGGAGACCTGAGGACTCAGATACTGCCCCATCATCTCTTAAGATGCCCACAATCTGGTGGCAGGGAAGAGATGGAAACAACCCACAAAAACAAAACCTGTTGAAGCCCCTGAGACTTAAAACTTTCCTTTTCAGCTGTCCTAATTTATAGCGGGGACATTCACTCAGAGAGGGGCAACTCACACAGTGTCACACTGCCCAACCAAGATAACTACCCGTTATACTTGGTCTGCTCCTAAAATTGCTTCACGGTAGAGGAGGAGCCCATGATATATAGGAGGAGCCCTGAGTTCAAGTCCCTGCTTGCCCACTAACTCCTTGGAGGGTTCATAGGGGATTGTCTGAATTCTCTGAACCTCAGTCTTCTCAGCTGTACAATGGAACCAGTAACTCTGCTTTGTCCCTCCCCTGTTGGCTGTGAGGCAATAACCACCAGCATTTGTCATGTTCTGCAAAGAATAGAGGTTATGAGATGCATTTATTGATCACCCACTCTGTGCCAGGGATAGTGTGCTGGGTGCTGGGGAACAAGACAGACAGCCCCTGCTCTCGCGTAGTTCACAGTGTAGCAGGGGATCAGCTCTTAACAATGAGTGCATCATGCAAATGGTAGTACAATTATTAAAGGGGAGGGAAGCACATATCAAAGGAAGCTGGTAGATTCTAAGGGCCTGGGAGGGCTGCTCTGAAGGCTTAAACTGAGATCTGAAGAGAGGAAGAATTAACTAGTGAAAGAAGTCAGGGAAGAGCATTGCGGTCAGAGGGAACAGCACATGCAAAAGTCCTGTGGCAGGAGAGGAGGTTGGAGGCACAGACGAGTCAGAGTGAGAGGGACAGGGACACAAGAAGAGGTGGGAAAGGTGGGCAAGGCTTTGCACAGAGAGTTTGAATTTTCTCCTAAGAGCCATGAAAAGCCACGGAGGGAATTAAAGAGGGAGTAATGTGATCAGATTAGTTTCTTTCACAAGATTCCTCTAGCTGCTGGGTGGAGGAGAGAGTAGAAGCGGGCAGGGGCTGAAAGGAGACCTACCGGCAAGAGATCTGCCTTGAAGGGCTGCAGAAGGGTCTAGCTCCAAGGGCAGTGGCAACCAAGGCCAAGGCCCCAAAGGGGCTTGGGGCTAGACTCCCCCAGGCAGGGGGTGCTAAGGGCCCTCCCGTTCCCCCCAGCCCATGCCTTAGCCCCCACCACTCTGGGCCCTGCACCCCTGGGGTTTCTCTTTCCTCCCAGTCCAGCCCTTTCTTGTTATTGTGGGACAGACTCCATCGATGACTCATGCACGACTTGGGTTTCTTGTTCCAGCCGTCTCCTGTCTCCTCCTCGGCTACTTGGAGCTCCTCAGGGCTTGCAGACCTCGCCCCTCACCATCTAGGGAGGTGGCCAAGCGCCCTGCCAGTTGGGGGGAGGTCTAAGGAGGAAGGAGCTGGGAGTCTGCCCGCCTCAGGCACCATCCACACTTTCCTGCCTCTGTGATTCTGCTCATCCTCTTCCCCCTGCCAGGGATTCCCTTTCTGCAAGTCCTGTTCATCCTCCCAGGACCACGTCCTTGGGGAAGCCCTGCCCAGTGCCCCAAGGTGGTTGTCCCTCCTCTGCTCAGCAGCACCTGGTCTTTTCATCGATCCCTCCAGAGTTCACCTTCTGGTGAGGGAGGCAAGGAAGTGACATAATGGAGCTGTGGACATAAATATGGTAGGAGCATAGAGAAGGGAGCTAGTAACAGCCCCCAGAAATGGGTTCAGGGGTTTCCCAGAGGAAGGGCTATTTGCACCTGGCTTGTGAAGGAGAAATAGAAGCTCACTGAGGGGAGAAAGATAGGATAGCATTCCAGACCAAGGAAAGAATGTGTGCAGCGGAGGACTACGAGTCATTTCGGAAACGTGTGAAAGGAGCCCCGTGCATGTAGATGTTTGTTGAATGAATGTTTGGGGAGAACATTGAGAAATTCAGTGTGATTGCATCAGAGTTTGCAAACTGGTGAGGTACAGACCAAATGAGGTAAACAGAGGGTTTTTAAAAAACCCAAAACTGAATTAGTTGTCAACATCTAACAATAGGGAGGCGTCACATAAACTTCTGGAGCAGGGCAGTAGTCTCTCCCTTCATCCAGGCCCATGGTAGCCAGCTCACCAGGGTCCCCACCTGGTTCACTTTACTCATGCAAGCTGCTTCCTGGACCCTGCGGGCAATTGAGTTTTCACCCCCAATCTAGATGATATGTTCTTCACGGTTCTGGACTATGAGCTGCTCCACAGGGTCAGACACATAGCAGGTGCTCAATAAATGTTCGTTGGCTAGGTAGATGGATAGTGTGATGATTTTAAAACATGTCCACAAATTTCTTTTTTTTAAAAAAAAGATTTTATTGGGGAATTGGGGGAGGGGAACAGCATTGGGGAATCAGGGATGGGGAACAGACAAGTTGCTGTCCTTTTGTTCTTCAGTCTAGTTGTGGAGGATGTTGCTTCACTGGCCCACGTTGGTATTATCATTGTGCTCTTCCTGGCTGAGGCAGTCACTTGCTGGCTCTCAGACGGCCACTCACGGTGGCTCACGGCAGCTCACGCTGGCTGCCAGCTACTCATAGCTCATGGCAACCCACTGCAGCCCCGCTGCAGCCTATGCTGTTGCCGGCGGCTCACGGCAGCCCAGCTCCAGGTTGAACTGTTGTTCACCATCTTAGCTGTAGAGGGCATAGCGTCACTGGCTCTTCATGTGGGATCTGAACCAGGGTCCTGCTGCTCAGAGCTCATGCTCCCAAGCGAACTCTTAACCAACGTGCCACTTGGCCAGCCCTGTCCACAAATTTCTTAACACTCCTCCCTTCCCAAAGTGGAGCTGCCTTCAGTGTGGGCTGGATTTAGAGACTCTTCTTTAAATGTGGAGGAAGTGGTGGTGTGTGACTTTTGAGACTAGTCATAAGAGACACCTTTCTATCTCTTGGATCACTTGCTGTAGGAGAAGCCAGCCACCATGTTCTTAGGACACTCAAGCAACTATGGAAACACATGTGTATTGAGGAACTGAGGTCTCCTGACAATAGCCGTACTAACTTCCAGCCATGTGAGCAAGCCACCTTGGAAGTGGGCCTTCTGATGACTGCAGACCCAGCTGACAACTTGACTGCAAACTCATGAGAGACCCTTAACTAGAACCACTCAGCTAAGCTGCTTCCAAAAACCTGATTCACAGAAATGGTGTGAAACAATAAGTGTTTACTGTTATTTCAGGTGTCAAGTTGGAAGAAATTTGTTATGCACCAATAGACAACTAATATGGATGGATGGATGGAAGGATGGAAGGATGGATGGATGGATGGATATCGGGTGTTAGGTAGGGAGGGGGATTCCATTGGGAAAGTGAGTGGGGATCAGATCCTAACTGAGTTCATCATCCTGGAGAGCTGGAAGAAGTTTGCAATCCAGGAGTGCCATGGCCATCACTAAGTTTTAGGCAAGTTCACTTAGGCAGCCAGGTAGGGAAAGATGGAGTTAATGAACCTTAAGGCTGAGAGGTAATCAAGAAGCTGAGTCATTCAGCCTGGGGAGATGGGGTGCCCTGTGTCTCCAAATCCAGCTTCCTCAAGCAGCAGTCCCACCCAGTCCTTCACACCCTGTGCTCTTGGCTCGGTCATTCCTCAGCCCCAGCTGGCCCTCTGAACTGTGGAGGAGGTCAAGACTTCAGCATTTCTCAGAGGCCAAGTCATCCCCCTCACTCAGAGTCTTCTTTGTGTGGAAGGAGCAGTTGTTCCCTCATCTGGTGGGGGGCTCGGGGTAGGGTCAGTGGCATTCAGAAACCCAAGACGGGGAGTGAGGTGCTGACTCTTTGCAGAGACCTCACTGGCCCCTAGGCATGATGGGAAGCCACAAACACCAACTACCCATAGGGGGAGGTCATCCCTGATCCAGGGTATCGGGGCTGTTAGAAATGGTCCCCATCGCATGTCCTGAGGAAACGTATATGAAAAGTTTTAATGCAAATCAAACCATGCTGAAAGGCCATTTCTCATCTATCAAGTGAGCAAAAGTTCAAAAGCTTGATGACACATGTTGGTGAGGCTTTGAGAAAACAGGTACTTTCATACATCGTTGGTGGGAATGCCAGGTAACAAGCCACATAGAAGGGAATTTGAAAATATCTACCAGAATGACATATACTGTATACTGTACCCTTCTGACCCAAGAATTTTTACTTCTAGGATTTATTCTAAAGATATAATTCCACAAATATGAAAAACATAGGCATAAAGTTATTCATTGAGACATTATTTATAACAGCAAAATATTGGATTACCCAAATGTCCATCCATATGTAGCTGGATGAATGAAGTATGGTACCACCCAAGGGAATGTTTTGCAGCCATAAAAGCATGGAGAAAGATCTCTATGAACCTATATGGAGTGATTTACAGCATATGTTTTTAAGCAAAAACTAAAATAAAATAGACACAAAGTATAAAGAACTATACATAGTATGCTGCCTTTCATGTAGGAACATTTTTTAAAAAACATTTATTTGTTTACACACATATTTATTTAATTATGCAAAATCAACCCAGGAAGGATAAATGGGAAACTTAATTGAAAATGGTTACTCATAAGAAGTTAGTGGGAATGCAATGGAGAAGAAAGAGATGGGAGTGAGATTTCTCTGAATATATTTTTATATGGCCTTGACTTTTTAATTATGTAAATATTTTAATTATGTTAACATTTTACTTTTACTTATGTAAACATTTTACATTTTCAAAAATAAAATTAAATAAAAAGACGAAAACCTAAACCCTAAACTTGAAAACAAAGAGAAAAAAAATGAGCTTAACTGTGTGTCAGATTAATAATATAACCACACAAAGAAAAAAATTAATTCGAGTAACTTTGGTGGGATATATTCTAAAGACATAGAGAACTACAGAGAAATTAGCAGAGATATTGATGTTATAATTCTGAAACAATTATCTGTGTGTTGTGCAATAGAAGAAATGAGTAAATATCTTAATGATTTGGGAACCTGGATTCTCACTGTGGGAAAAAGAAGTTAAAAATATGGAATTGAGCAAGGATATGTGGCTGTGAGTTTTCATGGCAGACATGAGTTTTAATTGCAGTATGAGCTCGTGCTTACACACACACACACACACACACACACACACACACTCCCTAGCTCTACCCACTGAGAGCACCAAGAAACTGCAACACTCCCTAGCAATTAGCTCACCAGTATCCACATCTTGGTTACCAAATATCATTTCCCACTAAATGAAGCCCTTAGAAAAATGGCTGATTCCAGGATTGGGGAGGGAAAGGACAAGGTAAACCTGAACTATCTTGTGTTAGAAAGCAAGGAAGCCCTCAAAGAATTGTGAGTTCAAGTGAAAAGAGTCAACTTAAAGGGGTAGTCAAAGTTCGGACAATTTGATCTTCAAAAGAATGGTGCAGGTTTCTCGCTGTTGGAGTAACAGGTTACCGACAAGCACGGAGCTACACGTGGTAATGGATTAGAGCTGGAGACAGTATGAACTCGTGCTTAGCTTAAATATAGATACAGATGCAGATAAATAGGTAGATTTATAGATAGATTACATATAGAAATATTTATAGATGTGTGTATACAGAAGGTAGTATATACACATATGATTCCTTGTTCCATCAGCTGAGTGGGCTTAGCATGACACCCCAGTAGCAACAAGCACACCTAGTACCCATATCTTGGTTTCTATACCATTTTCCAATAAAACAGAACTTTTTGGAGAAATGGCTGATTCTAGGGCTGGAGTAGAAAATATGCAAGATGAGCCTAGAGCATCTTCTAGTGCCGGAAGGTAAGGAAGTGCTAAAAATAAACAAAACCAACAATGATGGAAAGGGAACACAGGATCCAACCAAAAAGCATCTAATGACCAAAGTTGGAACAATCTGAGCAAGAAAATTAAGTATTACAGTGATATAAATAAATGAGTGAACAAATAAATAATCTCCCTTGCAGAAAAACTCCAAATAATTTATGTAGATCCTTACCTTCAAGGGGATGGAGCATAACTCCCCAGTGTGGATGCATATAGTGACTTTCTTCCAAAAAATAAACAGTATGGAAAGGAGGAAAAGAATAACTTTATTGAGGAGAAACCTGACAAACTCTACCTCGGCCAGGTGACAAAGGCAACTTTGACAGTGATAAGTCTGTTGATAGCATGTACCTTTGACATGCTGTGCAAGAATAGAGTAACTGAGTTACAGACTGCCCTAGACACCCTCCATCTTCCCACCTGCCTTGCAAAGATGCCCAGAGAGGGCAACAGTCTTCTCCAATGCCACACAGCATATCCATGGCAGAGTCAGGATCTGAACTCACTATCCTGACCAAGGATCGATTTACCTGAAAATCTCAGAGTGTTGGGCATGACAGGCCCTGAATAGGCCTTTTTATGGAATTGCCAGAGCTTCCTCTGGGGAGACAGCCATTTCACAGACAAGGTAAGAGGGGCTCAGAGGGCTGGTGGAATTCCCCCACATCACCTTGGAGTGGCAGAGCTGCAAGAAACAGGAAGCAGGGCTCACCGAGCAATGACCCCCACAAGGGTTGCAGCTTAGCTGCATTTATCCCCATCTCTGGGATTCTCAGCACTGAAATATCTCCTTCCTCGTGGAGACAGCACCTTTCCCCCATGGCCCCATTTCAGGACTCCAGGGCCACCCAAGGACACCCTGGGCCTCTTCCTGGGGTGAAAAGCCTCGGGCAGTGTGAAAAAACTGGGCAGATGATGCTGTGGCGGCAGCGACAGGGAGGGAACCGAGGTCATTCTACGGCCTCTCCCCCCCAGCCAGCTTAGAACTTAGCTCCTGATGAAAGGGCTAAATTGTCCCATGCAGCTGTGCCTTTTTCCTTTCCTTTCAGTCTGCAGCCCTGACTGGGGAGAGGGGCAGTCGTCTTCTTCCTGACTGTGCTTCCCCCACCGGAGTCCTCCAGGGGCCATCAAATGCTGCCTTCCATTCCCGGTTTCTTGTCAATGCAGAATCTCAGGTCTGTGGAGTGAGAGGCGGCCTCAGAAGCCATGGTGTCCAGCTGTTGCCACATCAACATGACCCATGGGGGGTGCATTACATGCAGATGCGGCCCCAGGACTCCCAGGGCTAGGACCAGAAATCGTGTTTTTAATAAACACAGCTGGTTAGTGAGACACCTGGTTATACAGACTGAGAAAAACTGGGGTCCAGGGAGAGACATGGGCTTGCCCAGAGTCACTGAGCGAGTTTTATGGCTAGACCAAAGCAGAATCATTCCTTCCTTCCTTCCTTCATTCATAAAAACATTCACTTGGCACTGACTATACCAGGATCTATGCTAAGGATTTACCAGAGAGAGGATTTGCTCACAAGATGCTCACAATAAGCAAGCAAGAAAACAGCAAATGGGTTCTTCTAAAGCACAATGATAAGGACTGCAATTGAGATGTCCAAGGTTCTGCAGCAGCTCAGGGAGGGGTACTGAACCCAGGCAAAGAGGGTCGTATCAGGGAAGGCTGCCTGGAGGAGTGATAATCCAAGGACTCTTAAAGGAGTCATAGAAAATATCTATGCAAAGGAGGAAGGGCCCTGCAGGGAGGTGGATCAGCATGAGCAAAGGCGTGCAGATGAGCAACAGCATGGTGTGTGTGGGCAGCCAAAAGCAGTTCAGTGATGCTGGAGACAGGAAGAGGCAAGACATTTACTCACCAATTATGTCTGTTGAGTGATTAAGTCTGTTGTATGCCAGATCCTCTTCAGGCATTGGGTTTGGGCACAAGGAATAAAGCAGATAAAGTCTCTGCCCTTGTGACCTTACATTCTAGTGGGAAGGAGAGAAGAAACACAAACTGTGATCAATTTAGTGCATAACATATATGAGGTGGTAAGTGCTGAGGAGAAATAGAATACAGGGAAAGGAGCTAGGGATTCTTATTTCATGAAGGGCAGCCAGGGAAGGCCTGTCAGAGCAAATGGCCATTGGTGGAGACCTGAAGGGAACAGGAGAGTGAATCATGCAGAATCTGGGTGGAGCTTTGTAGGAAGAGGGAGCAGCAAGTGCAAAGGTCCTGGGGCAGGAGTGAGATGAGGCTGGAGAAACGTTGGCAGAGGAGGAACTTAAGTGACATGATCAGAATTTTCTTTTTTCTCCTTTTTGTAAAGTATAGGATGCCAGCAAAAGGTTTAAGCAGAGGAGGGAGCATGGTCAAGTTTAGATTGTAAAGGTCCTTCTGACTGCCATGTGAAGAGCAGAGCAGGCGACACCAGGAAGACCATTGATGAGGCTGCTGCAGTGGTCCAGGCTGTGAGGGAGGTGGTGGCCTGGACTGTGGTGGGAGGGCTTGCAGGGATGAGAAGGAGAAAAGAAAAGCTAAACTAACTCCCCAGGATGTGAAGTGCACAGGGCTCAATTGGTTGCTATCGTTGGGGGAGAAAGTATCCAGGATGGCATCAGATCACCAGTGGGAGGCAGGGCCATCTCTTAGATGGAGGCATACCAGGACGAGCAGGACTGAGAAAAAGATACATTTATTTATTTATTTTTATTATTATTTTTCTTAAGATTCTCTCTTTTTTTTATTGTTAGTTTCAGGTGGACAGAACAATGCACCAGTTATCCTTTTCACCCCTCACAAAGTAACAACCCCCTCCCCCATCAACTGCCCTCCCACCCCCGATATCATGCTTATATGTTATAATTCCATTGACTCCATTCCCACTCTCTACTCCACGTCCCGTGACTATATGTATATATAATTATAGTTGACATACATTATTATTCAACATCAGCTTCAGATATATACATTTAGCTTTGAACTCCTGAGCCTGCGGCTCCTGTGGGACGTCTCTGTCCAGGGGATGACTGACCTGGGGCTCTAGAGACCTGAGCTGGAAAGCGGAGTTAGGGAGTTGGCAGCATAATGACGGGGCCGCGGAGAGGCAGCACCCACTGGTCACTTGAGATGGTTCCTAACTGTTGAGCAGGAAGGGGAGGGGGGCCCAGGACCGAACCCCAGGAAACCCCTGGGTTGAAGGAATGGAAGAAAAGCCCACAAGAGAACCGGAGGGTCTTCAAAAGGCCACCCACCGACATAAGCATCTGATGTCTATTTCACAAAACTTCTCTGGGAGGATATGCTTTCCCCTGTTTATCCCTGTGTCTCTTTTACATGTTTCCTTATTCTAATAAATATATTTTTTTAAAAAATAAGTACCAGGTGACCAAAGGAGCATTCATTGAGTTTGGAAAGAAGTTCTTTCATTCCTTCACACAACAAACATTTTTATGGAGTTCCTACCGCGTGCCAGGCATTGTTCTTGGCACTGGAAATGGTGACCTGAGCAAAAAGTTCCTGCTGTCATCAGCTGGATTGGTCTGCTCGGGCTGTCATAACAAAATACCAGAGAGTGGGAGGCTTAAACAACAGAAATCTCTTTTCTCACAGTTCTGGAGGCTGGAAGTCCAGAAACCAGGGTGTCAGGAGGCTTGCGGCTTCCTCCTTAGGGCTGTGAGGGAAGGACCTGCTCCAGGCGTTTCCCCTTGGCTTGTGAATGGCCATCTTTACGTTCACACAGCTTCCTCCCTGTGTATATACGCGTCCAAATTTCCCCTTTTTATGAGGACACCAATCCTAGTGGATTAGGGTCCCCGCTAACGACCTCATTATAACTTGATGGCCTCTGTAAAGACCCTATGTCCAAATAAGGTCACTTTCTGAGCTACCAGGGAGTTAGGACTTCAACATGTGAATTTGGAGGAGGGGTGGGGGGACACAAGGCAAATCATAACACCTGCCTTACAAACTAGTGAAGATGACAGGTGATAAGCAAATAAGTATATAATACCTCAGGAGGGGAGGGGGGTCGTGGAGAGAGACAGACAGCAAGACAAGAGGATGAGTAGGCCAAGGGCGAGGTGCTGCTCTTATCAGTGGGGTGGAAGTTTCCAGGGGCTGAGTGGGGGAGGGTGGCCTGAGGGCAGGAAGTGAGAGTCTGGACCAGGGAGACAAACGGGGCTTTGAGGAAGTTTGGCTGAGGAAGGGGAGGGTGGATGGTAGCTGGAAGGAGGCCTGGGATTAAAGGGACGTCTCATCTGATTTTATGATAGAGAATTTTGTGAGCTGAGAAGACTCCAGAAAAGAAAAAAATATATATCAGAAAAAAAGAGAGCTAGGACTCTTCTGGGAGCTGAGAGGAAGGGAGGGAGGGGAGAGGCAGGTGTACATGCGTGAGTGGGGGGGGGGAGGGAAAAAGAGGTGAAGGAGGGAGCCCACTAAGAGTGGAGGTGCGGGGTGGAGGGGGTCGGGTGTGAGGATGGAGAAGGCTGAGGGCTTGGCTGAGGACCACAGGAAGCTTGAGGTGGGGCTCCCCAGACCTCACGCAGTTCCCAGACCTCCTTCTCAAGCCCCCACCAGCCCCTGAAGCCTCTGTCCTTCCCACTTCCTCCCCGGCTCCCCCAGGACCCTCCTATGACGTGTCTGTGAGACACTCCCTCCCATCTGCTGTTCACTCGGATCAATTGATGCTGTGTTCTCTCTGGCACCCCCCGCACACCCTTGTCCCCCCATCACAGGGACCACATGGCCACAGTCACAGCAATCTCCATCTGGCCGAAGGGAAGTTTTGCCTTCACATCTCTGCCAATATTTGAAATTCTTAAGAAGCTGTGTTTTGTCTTCACATCCATTGGATCCTGCCCCACCTTTTAAAAACCCTCCAGGGGCGCCCCATTGCTCAGAAAACAGAATCCAAACACTTCAGAGTGGCCTCCAAGACCCTGCATGGTTTGGCTTCTGAAGTATTTGAAAAAAAAATTTTTTAAATAATTTTAGGTTTGCAGAATTGCAAAAATAGTATAAAGAATTCCAATATACCCCTTCACCTAGGTTCCCTTAATTTTAACATCGTATATAACCTCAGTACATTTATCAAAACTAAGGAATTAACATTGGTCCAAGGATGTGTTACTTTCATAGTAAACAAAATGATTATGGATTTCTTTCATTTTCACTGGGGTGTTTTTCCACAGATACAAAGGCATATATGGACAGTTTGAAGAATAATGATAAATGCCCTTGAGCCAGTCCATTTAACAAACAGAACTCTACTGTTACCTTGATGCTGTCTGTGTGCCCTCTCTGATCAAATCCCCATCTCAATGGTTGTACTTGCGGAGTTTAATTTATGGAGGTGTTTGACGACTAAGGGAGGCTAACGTCCTTGAAAGAAGAATCTGTTACTTACATTTCCTAGCGGAAGAGGGCGCACCACGCCACTCAGGGCCAAGTGGAAACAACTGGAGGGTGATTAGGAGACAGAAACAGGGTAGAAGGGAGCCCTGGGGCATGGCGTTTATTGGGGTTTCCATGGAAAAGGCAGGGCAGGGCAGGGCAGAGCAAAGAGTGTAGAATTGGCTGGTTTGAATAATTCCAGTGGACTTTGGGCTAGAGAGGTGATCTCCAATAGCTGGCCTTGGGGCGATTTAGGGCAGGGGCAATATTGGCTAGGTGTGTGAGAGTTAGAGAAACTGGCTCGTAGTGGTTTGCATAGAAGAGGCATGCTTTTGGCCGAGTTCTCTGCTAGCTCTAAAAATTGGCTAGCCCTGGGAGGGCCCTCTCTCCTTGGCCAGCAAGGTTTTTTTGTTTTGTTTTGTTTTTTTAAAGATTTTTTGGGGGAATTGGGGAAGGGAACAGTGTTGGGGAATTGGGGAAGGGGAACATTGTGTTTTTCCAGGACCCATCAGCTCCAAGTCAAGTTGTTGTCCTTCAATCTTAGTTGTGGAGGGCGCAAGCTCAGCTCCAAGTCCAGTAGCTGCTTTCGATCTAGTTGTGGGGTGGAGGGGCGCAGCCCACCATCCTATGCAGGAGTCAAACCAGCAACCTTGTTGTTAAGAGCACGCGCGCTCACCAGCTGAGCCATCTGGCTGCCCATTGGCAGCTCGGCGGCAGCTCAGCTCCGGTGCAGCTCACTGGCCCATATGGGAATTGAACCGGCATCCCTGTTCTCAGAGCTCGCGCTCTAACCAACTGAGCCACCTGGCTGGCCCCCCCAGCAAGGTTTTTAAGATGTTAAAACACCGTAAGATTGGGAAAATTAAAAAACAAAAACATGATGAATTCACCCCTCCATGTTTCTGCCCCCTGCCAGAGGTAACCCATTCCCTTGCTTTCCTTTATCGTTGTACTCCTTATATATAAATCCCTCAACAAAATTTTCTTTTTCTTTGTATCTTTTCAAACTTTATATACATGGAGTCATTGTAACTATATTCCTCTGTGACTTGCACTTTCCCCTGGATATTCTGCTTTTGAGATTCATCCATGGGAACATTCATTTGCTTTCACTGTTATATAGTATTTCATTGTCTGCATATTAGCCTGTACGGTGTACAAGCGCATATTGCAATGTATCGATTTTCTACTGTTAATGGGTATTTCGGCTCTCTCCAGATTTTTCGTGCTTCTGTGAGCATTCCTGCATAGGTAGCTGACATATAGATGTGCTTCTTTGGGTTAAACCCGAGTGAAAAGTTCACGTACCTCTGTGTTCACATCACAGTGCAGCATTTTCAGTTTTACTGAAGATAATGGAAAACTGTTTCTCCAAGTTGACATGTCCACCAGCTCCCTCCAGACCTTCATTATCCTTTGGTGCTGTCTGAATTTCAAATTTTGGATAATCCAGGGGTATGTAATGACATCTCATTGGGTCTTCTTAGTCTGTACTTCTTTGACTGATAATGAGGAGGAGTGTCTTTTCTCATGTTTATGGATCATTTCTTTTATGAAATTTTCTGCTCATGTTTTTGCAGTTTTGATTGTG